AAAGGTTAAATCCTGCAAAAGAAGGCAATAATAAAATAGATCTTTAAAATAATAATAATAATAATTAGCCTTGAACTGTAATTGCTTTGTCCCACTAAATCTTCAAACAAATAAGACAAGGATTAATGGTGTCCTGTAAAAGTCTTTGGAACAACTCCTTCCAGCAAAGGCCTCAGTTGCTGGGATTCTGGATCAGCAAGCTCTTTGGGTAGCTAGAGAAAAAGGAGTGTTAGTGGGGCCTGGGGAGAAGTGTAGGGTCTCATCTGAACAGAAGCAAAATGGCAGGGGAGGGAGGTAATGAGAGGAGGAGAAAGTCCAAGGGAGACATTTCATCAGCTAAGGGAGTGGCAACAAGCCAAGGGTCCTTAGCAGTACCCAGCAACCATGCACTGACCAGAAAACAATCCCACCCGTAGTGTGACCAGGCGGGCCCACCATGCTCTCTTAGATGTCTCTGTTGGTAAAATGGGCTCCCAATGAGGAGACTGTGAGTGGTCCAGTTTGGGGACTGTCAGTTTGGCATGGCAGAGAGAATGTGAGCCGTGAGCTCCATGTTTGACCTGGCAAAGTCCTGCTGATTATACTGGGAATTCAGGGGTCTCTAGAATGACTTAGGGTGAAGAAATACCGTAAGGAGAAAGATCAGTGGCTTTGGTGCCAATGTGGGGTAACTAAGGCCTTCAGGCATTTGACCTTCAGTGAGAGAGACAATTTGGAAGAGGGAGCATAATCAGGCCCGAGTCCTTTTTAACTCTTTTACCACCACCCCTTTTTGGCCACTAGGTTCAAGTTCTGACAGTCCCCCCAGGGGGTAGACAGCAGTACAGCTGACCAGAAGCCAAGCCAGCAGCCCCTTCCTCTGTACCCTCCCCCCAGAAGCCCAGAGCACAGCCTAACTGCTTGAGGGGAGACAGGAACTGTGTCAGGAAATCTGCATATTTGAAGACAGATCAAATCCTGTTACAACTAATCATCAGGAGGTGTGCAAGCTCTTTCCTGGGACTGGCACTGCACTGCATCTCAAATCTGCTTAACACCCACTGGAGAGATTTCCATTATTCCGAATTATCCCTGAGGGATAATGTGTTGTCCAAGGCCTAGGTTGTTTGCAAAGTCAGTTTGGACAAGTCGGGTTCTCAATTTATAGCGTCCCCATGTGATAGAGTAAAATTGCCGCATAGGGTTTTCTTGGCTGTAATCTTAACAGGAGCAGATGGAACTGCTGGGTTTGAACTGAGAACCTTTCAGTTACTAGCCAAGTGTTTAACCATTGCTCCCTTTCAGCTGGATTATATCTAAAGCTAAAGGTGGAAAGTAATCTGTAAAACGAATGAAAAGGAGGGTGGCAAAGGGGCTGTGGAGTCCTGGCGAGGTGCTACATGTAGGATAAGTAAGGTCGGCAGTTCCAACCCACCAACTGCTCCCCCAAATGGACTCAATGACAACAACACAGGGGTGCAGCTGGGCTCAGAGGCAATGTTCCTCTTCTCCTGTGTGCACACATGAAAGGTCCCTGTGTCATGTTCCCATGCCACTAGGTGAAATAGTCCTTTTGAGAGAAATGACCCACACTTACACTCGACATTGCAGCGTGTGGATTCTAGAGCACGCACAGGAAATTCATGGGGACTTTGTGACTCAGCTAAGCATGTCACTTAGACACTGGACGCATGAAGGGAGCAGGGTTAGCACTTATCTGCTCTGCGAAGAGCCCTCTCCCTCACCACAGCCGCCCCAATGCAGCCGAAGCACCAGACAGGCAACATGAGACAGGGACATCTTTGTTAGCTCAACTCCGCTGTTGCTCTCTGGCTGCATTCCAAAACAAAAAATATTTTTTTACGTGATTTTACATGGTCCAGTATTTTGTATTATGTATCTTTCCCCCATCCCCTTTTTTAATGTAGGTGATCGTAAATTGGGTGTGATGAGTTTTATGTCTTCCCAAATGGAGAAACAATGACAGCAACAATCTAGTTAGAACAGGGTCGTTGGAGCTGCCCCAACTTGGCTGTTCTACCACCAGACCTTGTTCTGAAGGTACAAAACAAAAAACTTGTGTCCCTTCCAGACAGGAAAGCAGAGAGAACACAACTGTGCTATTTTGGGCAATTGTGCCCAATCTGGGGTTGGCTCAGATGGCTGAACTTGCTCCCAGCCAAAGTTGTCCCTGGGGGAACTCCAGGAAGCTCATGGGGTTCTGTTCTAGCCACCAAGGGGGTTTCTCTTAATTTGGAGGAAATAGTTTTCCATGGTATAGGGGTTCCAGTGATGAAGCAGAAACAAACATCCCTTAGCTCCTTGGTAATGAGAAAGCCCTACTTCTAAGTGTTGTTTAGATGCTTAACTGTTTAATTCCACTGAGGAAGACACTTCAACATCTCCATCTCCCTGCCTCCACTTGACCTTATGTGACAGTGTTAGTCTAGGGCAAATGCACAACACCACAGACGGTCCACCTGACTCAGGTCTGGAAGCGGCAGGCTGACTTCAAGCATTGCCCTCAGAAGGAGAAAAAAGTCCAGGTTGCCTGGGACCAACTCAGTGGGAATCTTGTTCTTGCTATTCCTGCTCCTCCCATTGTCTCAATGCTGCCAACCATGTCCTGGCTACTGACGCCACTCTGCTGTCCTGGGAAGACCGTGCTGTCCTCCCCATCTCTGCCAGCTGGCAGGGGTTCCCCCAGACATGCACTGAATTGCTACTTTAGACAGTCCAATACTCTTCTCCAGGGGTCTCTGGCCCTGGAGAAGGAAGAAAGCAGAATGAAGCAATCATGTCATGTTCTTGGGCTCTGACCATCCTGGTGGTTATCAACTCATGGGCAGTTCAACACCACCTAAAACTGTATGTGCAGGAGACTGTGGAGGGTAACAGAAGAGGGGGGAAATGGGGTTCAAATAAAGAGGAACAGAGAGAGAGAGGGGAAAGAAGAAAGTAGAAAGGAGGGAGGGGAAAACAGAGAAGATGGAATTCAAGGACAAAGGGAAGAATATGAAGAAAGAATGGAAAAGAGGTTCCATTCCTACACCACAGTGTGGACTCTCAGCACCGAGGTCATCAGGGAGGGAGGGAGTGATGGGGAAAGAAGACAGCACTAGTGGTCAGGACTCCCACCAATCCTGAAGAAGAAGGCAGTGTACCCAAGCTCCCCTTCACACACCCTACACAGGAGGAAGGCGTTGCCAACCAATGCTTCCTTGGCCCAAGAAGCCAGGAGTCTTCCTCTTGACTCTGACATGTAAGAGCTGACACCACCCATGTGGTACTCTTTGCCCAGACACCCTTACAGCCTCCTCTGTCCACAGTATTGAAAACAGCATCCACAGCATAAGCCAGACAAATTAAGGTCTCTTTGGGGGGCTCTTTTATGGGAAAAGTCACAAATCCATAGCATGCGTCAACACAGACAGCTTGCAATCTTGCAATGGTACAGCAAGAAGTATATTTCTGGACTGACGAGCTTCTCTCTCCTCTGAGGAGCCCACCACCAAGACAATGAGTCAGGAAATGCAGATTCCTTGTCTACCAGCCCAACAGAATCAGGATATTAAGGACACAAAACTCTGCAATTTACAGAAATAGTGGTTTCGTATGGTTCCATGTATACATGTTACAGTTAAACAAAATTAATTCTGGTGTACTCAGTAATTTGGATGTTGCATGTTATGGTTTTCTTTTTGAAATAAAGATGATTAAGAAATGACTAAGAATGAAAGAAATCGTCAAGCTGAGTGCATGAGTGGGCTGGACAGCAGGTGACCACTGAAAGCAGTGGTTCTCAGACTCAGTGTGTATTGGAATCATCCAGAGAGCCGGCAAGAAGCACAGAGGCCGAGAACTGTAGGTTGTTTGCCAAGTTCCCTAGCTGATTCTGATTCTCACCATAGTTTGAGGACCACAGGCTCAAGTTTCACTCAACTTGATCAAGTCAGGCCAAGTAACCGAAGGCTGTAGAGTCAGGATATGTTGTCTAAATGAAGTGAAACTGGCTCAGCACAATGAGTTGGCAGGATATCTAGATCAATGTCATGGGCAAGTCTTGCCCCAGACTCAGGTACCCCAGGAGGCTTGGGCTCCGCAGGCTGCCTCCCCAGTCCCTGGCCCTCAGCCCCAGGTAGAGACCTGCACTTACTGGTGAGGACCTTGAGGGTGAAGGGGTTCTTCTGCTGGATGGTGTGGGTAAAGTGGAAGCGAGCATTGCAGCTGTAGTCCGTCTGCATGTCTGGCAGCATCACGTTAGAGAAGTACAGGTCTCCGTTATGACCCTGGGAGACACGCTTGTCCTGGGTGATGGGTTCCATGGCTGTAGGGAAGCAGAGGTCCAGAAAGAGATTAGGAGTAATAACCATCATCATGACCACCCAGGTGATCAAGCCCTCACAGAGGGGCTCAGGTAGGGGACAAGAGCTTGACAATATTTTGTCCAAACCTCTCCATTCTGATACATACTAGTTGTCATTTATGGATTCCAACTCATGGTAACCTTGTTTCAGAACTGAATTATGATCCATAAAGTTTTCTTTCTTAACATTTTTTGGTGATTGGTACAACTCCAAATAAAAGTAATTAATCTCATAACAACAACTATTACTTTACTAATATTTTTTATTCTAATTATCACAGTATTTATATCCATAGTACAAATTTATCAATGTAAACTAACAGTTGTCTTCCTCTTATTAATTGAATGAAAAGTGTGGGTACGTACAACTTCGTAAAGGTCCTAACATTGTAGGATCCTATGGGCTTTGACAACCTCTTGCAGATGCAATAAAACTTTTTACTAAATCATCACACAGCAAAACATACATCAGTCCAATAATTTCTACATGGATACATTCAGCGACATGTTATACTCTTCAAAATGTGCCACCCTCGTCAATATCCTTTTCTGAATTGTTTCCTCATCAGCACAAGCACACTGTCCCTGGAGCTTCTCCAAAGGGTTTGTAATAACTGCTTGTTTTTTGAAGTAGATCACCAAGTCTTTCTTCCAAGGTGCCTTTGGGCAAACTGAAATTACCAACCTTTAAGTTAGCATCTAAGCTCATTACTATTTGTACCTTACAGGTTTATTCCCCTTTTAAAGCTCAAGAAACAGAGACTTTAATGTGTCCTGGGGTGAACTGGCAGCAAGGGAAGAGTAGGAGACAGATTCGTACATCTTACTCAGGCTCTACCACCTCACTTTTCTGTTTTCTGCACATGACACAATCAGACCCCAAGGACAGAGGGAGGGAACCCAATACCTAAATCAAGAGTTCAAACTCTCAAACTAACAGAAGGAACTCTAGCACAGGAAGGGAACATGACTCTTTCATCTTTATGACCCAGCACTCATCTTAGGACCTGACATATAGTAAGCACTCAATTGTTGGCCGAATTAAATACAATTGAACTTGACCTTGCTGCATATTATCAACATTGAAGACAGCATCATTTGTCAGATGCACTTTTGGGTTGTTAGTCTTTTTAATTCCAAGAAGGGGATAAAAACAGCTGCCAATTATAAGTTGTATACTAATCAGTGATGCACATTATCAATTCTAAGATGCTTTCCAATTTCAGAGATGTTAAAATGAGAAAAAATACACATCTTAGAATTAATGACATCATAGATAGCTCAGAACGCAGACTGTATTATGTATATGTTTTTCAAGCATCTGCATCTGATAAAATTCAGAAGCCAAGGTTTCCAGGCTGCCAGGCTTGTAAAAATAGACTTACAAGGCTGACTACTCCTGGCTACCTTCTTTCTAGCCTCCACTTTGTGTGTGCTTAAGTCACTATTGCTTAAAGCACAAGGTTAATGATGCCAATGATTCTAATGCTGGACAGTTCAATTTTGCAAATCATTTATCAAAGATTTACCACGGGCCTATGATATGAACAAAGGAGCTCTGGTAGCGTAGTGGTTATGAATCGGGTTGTGGGCTGCAAGGTCAGCAGTTTGAAACTACCAGCTGTTCCGCGGGAGAAAGAGGAGGCTTTCTGCTCCCGTAAAGATTTACAGCCTCAGAAACCCTGTACAGGTTCACTATGAGTGGGAACCGACTCCACGGCACATAACAACAACAACATGATATCAACAAAAAGGGCCATGCAGTCTTCAAAGAGCCTGCAGCTGTGTAGAAGAGATGGCAAAGGAAGTCCTAATTGCAATGCAGTGTAAGGTACCAAGTAAGAAGGAGGTTAACTACTATAAAGGAGCACCTAGTTCATTCATGACTCTTACCAGGCAGACAAGACCAAGGTGCTAAAAGGTTTCCAAGCAGCAGGAGCAGTCTATGCTATAGGACAAGAGTGTAGGGTCTATCCAGGAGAAAAGGACTGGAGAATCAGAGAGGACCAGAGCATGGAGGAAACTGGGTAGGCTAAGGAGTCTGGGCTTTTCCAAGGTGGGAAGGGAGCTATGAAGGCTGTTAGGTATATGGATGAAATGATCTGTTCCATGTTTTTAGAAAGACCAGAAGTGCAAGTTATGGATGCTAACCCAGGGAAAAGTTGGAGGTGGCCTGGGTTTGCGGGGATGTCAGGCAGGATGGAAAAGAGGAGGAAGGTGATGCAATCTACTTAGGAGGTAGCATGGACACAACTTGGTGATCAATGGGAGATAGTAATGAGAGAGAAGAGAATCACAAATGGGGCTTCAAAAAGTTTGTGGAAAATTTCTATGATCTTTTCATTGCATATTCCCATGAATTTTTGAAGCTCCCATGTATACACAGCACCACGATGAGGGAACAGAGTGGCAATGACTGCACACAAGGTCATCCTCAGCCCAGAAGGCCACCGTGGAGCTGCCTCACTGGCAAGGCAGCCTCCTCTGAAGCAGACTGGTAAGAATGCAGGGATAGAGACTGAAGAATGGGCAGTAGACAGACATGTGGGTAGAGGGGTGGGTAGACACCTGGATAGATGAAGAAGGACAGAATGGAAGGAGGGAGAAAAGGAAGCAGGAAGGCAGGGAGGGAGGAAAGCCAGGAAGATAGATAGATAGTAATCCTTCAATTATTTTCATAATACTTCATTCTTTAAAAAATTGAAACCATGGGAAGGAACTGAGGTCTAGAGGGGTTAGTGAGCCCCTTAGTCCAACACTGAGTCGGGATAAGCTCCTAGAAAGATGGTACTCTCTCTGTGTCCTTGCTCCAAACCCCCTGCCCCTCATCACTCCTTGATTAATGTTTTATCCTCCCAGTCACCTTTCCATCCTACAAGGAGAGCACATCAGAGGAAACCCGTGCTGACCAAGTATCTAAAGAAGAAGCTGGCCTACTGAAAACACAGTTTATCTTCTTCCTCCTCATTTCTTTTCTCTTCTTTTTCATCATCACAAATATTACTGAGCACAAACATTACTGGCATTGTTCTAAATACTTTAGACTGAGTAACTTGTTTCTTCCTCTAATAATCTTCTTAAGCCCCAAACAAACCGATTGCCATTGAATCGATTCTGACTCATGGCAATCCCATGAGTGTCCGAGTAGAACTGCGCTCTATAGTATTCTCAAGGGCTGAGTTTCTTAGATTGCCAAGTCTTTCTTTCAAGGTTCCTTTGGGTGACCTAGAACTTTCAACCTTTTGGTTGGCAGCCAACAATTTCAACCATGCACACTCTCCAGGGACTCAATCTTCTTAAAAAGTATAATTAGTTTCTCTCTCTCTTTTTCAGAAGAGGAAATTGAGGCCTAGAGATGTTAAGCAACTTGCCCAAGACCATACAGCTATTAGCAGCTTGGCTATGGGAGGAAGCCAGGCAGCCTCCAAGCAGAGCTAGTGCCCTCCCCCGTGAAACCACCTTCATGTGCATCTGACAAGATAAGGTTGTCCTCCCCATTTAACACACCCACATCCTTTTCCCTAAGACTAAATACAAATAAAATGCATCATCCAGGCCCTCAAGACGTACAGCTGCTCATCCAGAAGATGACTGGTGATGGAAGTCCTGGTGGGGGGTTGCACTGGAGCGTCAAGGGGGCACCTTCTTGAACCACAACAGGGTCTAGGTTTTCCTTGGGCCAGAGGGGAGATTCTGGGGAGAAATAATCACAGAAGAGTGAAGTGAGGGTGATGGCTAGAACCAGAGGGCAAGGAGCAGGGTTAAAGGTGGAGGGAAGGGAGAAGGATAGGAGAGCAGGAGAGAGGGACAGGTTCAGGGGGCCTAAACAGATGTCTTATGTCTAAATGGACGCATGTCTTTCAAAGATTCCCCTCTATGCCTGGAGGGGTGACTGGTGATGTTGTTAAAGACTTCTGGTTTGGAAATGTCCTTTCCAGGGAATCGTGCTGATGGACAAGCAGGACAGTCAGGGCATCAAGGCAACTATAGGCCAAGGGCAGGGGCAGCCCTTCTGGAATGATCCTCTATCCCATCTCCCTGCTCCCTCCGGCCCACATCTACCCAAGAACAGGGCATTTTGGCCCTGCCCCCTTGCTACTCACTGGACACCTGCAGGCGGATCCTATTGGACAGGGCCGTGCCGAATTTGTTACGAGCAAAGCACTGGTATTCCCCCTCATATTCCTCTGGTCGTCCACCGCTGCGGAAGTCAATCACCAGGGTCCCAGACCGCCTCCTCATCGACACTCGGGGGTCCTTGGCAATGTTGAAGAACCTGCTGTTGCGTGTCCAGTGGAAGCTGTGGACAATGCGGGATGGGGAGTAACTATGTGGACCCAGGCTCTCAGGTCTCTAGTCTCAAATTCAGTGCCTTGTGATGAACTTTCCACTCTCAAACTCACAATCACACCACCACATCGCTGGGTTCCAGCATTCAGGGAGCATCAGGATCATTTGGGGAGCTGATAAAATGCAGATTCCCAGGCCACACTTGGATGGATCTCCAGAGACATTTACCTTTCCTCCCAGGTGAGGGTGAAAATGATGGTTACAAATGGTATATACTCAAACAACCACTGTTCTTTGGGGGAGTAGGCAGTGATTTTGATGTATTAAAATCTAGAATTAGCTACTCCTTCTACCCCAGGATTTTTCCAATCTCCTACTAGCGTAGTGGTTACGAATCAGGCTGCAAACCGCAAGGTTAGCAGTTCAAAATTACCAGCTGCTCTGCGGGAGAAAGATGAGGCTTTCTGCTCCTGTAAAGATTCACAGCCTTGGAAATGCTGTTCAGGGTCGCTATGGGTCAGAACCAACTCAACAAAAATAACTAGGAATGCAAAAAAAAAAAAAGGCTGGTATTTCTCCCAATCCAAACCCATTAGGGAGCTAGCTCTGCTTCTCTGGCTTCCTTAATTTTAGAATCTACTCTAAAGCCAAACTTGAATGGTCTTGATGCTCCATGCACCCCTGCTCAATGAGCACAGATTATAAAGCAGTGGCCAGACCATGTAAACCAGGAGGGGGAGCCTTGTAGAAGCAGCAGCCTTCATAAAGCTGAGCCCTGGAGCAGATAGCTCCTTCTTGCTCCTGGGTGGGTGGTGGGGTTGGGTGTCTCTTACAACCTCGTGCTCTTAGCTGTTCACGACACAGGCCCCAAAGCAGGAAAAACAGAAGCAGCAGAGGCTCAGTTTCCTGCAAAGGAATCAATCTGAAGACACAACTCTAATGGTCTTGACCAACAATTTGGGGTGACCTGCTTCATCTACTTGTGTGAAGAGGTTCCTACTTCTCCAGGGGCTCACAGCTCTGGGACAGACTGTGTCATGCAAACTCAAGGACAAGAAGAAAGTTCCACCCTGCCTTACTTCTCCTGTGTACAGACATACTCTAGAGGGGTCCTGTCGGGATTGGGTGTGAGTCTGAAATGATGCTCCTCCAAGGACCAGTCTGTGATGCTGCTCTGAGTAAAGCAGATTGTGGCTTAGTACCAGCTTACCACCAATGTTTATGTTTAGACTTGGGGGTCAAGACCTGGCTTACAGCCTGGCTCTGCCCTTTCAAGCTGTGTGACCGTGAGGGAGGGTGCTTCAAATCTCTGCCTCTGATTCATCTTCTCAGAAGACATCTGTATTCCCCCATGGAACAGTTGAATGGGACAATGCAAGTAACATCTGACATGGAGGCTGCAGCAAGCAGGCTTTCAGCTCAGGTTTGCTAAAATCTCTTTTGATCCTGATGAGCACAGAATAAGCAGAGGAGAAGTAAGAATGGAAGACTCAAGTTAGCTAAGAAGAAGAACTTCCTAGAAAAGTACACATGGAGATAGGATTAAGGAAATGAGCTGTGGAAAGACTGAAAGTCAGAAAACAGGAAATCAAGATCTGGCTTTTTCCAGTGAACCTAGAAAAGCCACTGACATTTTGTAGCCTTTCACACACCCAAGCAATGAAACCTCTTTGCTATGTAAATTGTACCTTCCACTGAGTAGATCTCCAATGGATTTATTTTTAATGGATGAATCTTATTTCTTAGCTGCCTGATTTGCCTTAAGTATCCCTCAGGCCCAGAGGTAAGTAGGGTGACGTAAGGCCTCATTCCCTCCACCAGCTTTGATTTCCCCCCAGGGTGCTTACCTGGGAGCAGGATTCCCCTTTGCTTCACACTCGATCAAGATGTTATCCCGGGGGTCCACGATGTGGTCCTTCACTGACTGCTTGGTGATGGTGGGGGGTTGGGACACTGCAATAGTGCACATAGGAGGTGGTCAGAGCTGTGGGGAGCTGCCCAGGTTCCTGGCTTGGGCACTGCTAAGACCAAGAGCTCAGTGCCTCATTCTAGAGACCCAGCTCCCTAAATGGGGCCACATAAAGGGGGAAGGGTATCCAAAGCTAAGCTCTGAAGAAGTCTTGAAGAAGAACCCATAGTATCCTCTGAGATATTTGGGGCCAGGCTTTTGTTTTATCCATTCTTGTATCATGATGCCTAGTGCACAACAGTTCTTGATAAAAGTTGTTGAATTAATATAGGAACAAAAACCGAGCTATATTTCCAAAACTTAGGGGCCATGATGGTTCTGAGTCCTGGAGTCTCAACAGATTGTGAAGTTGTGACAGAGGCTTTAGACATCAGGGATTTACTTGCCTACATGTCAAAGAGCCAGATCCCTCATTCTGGGAGCTCAAATGTTTTACACCATGGTCCTTCAGCCACCAGAGGATGGAAGGGGAGTAACAAACATGACACACTTCAGTTTCAATTGAAAGGCAGTCTTCTTAATCCACCTGTGCCACCATCTTCCCCACCAGTGGGAAGCTCTGTGTGAACCTCTTTACTTCCCCTGTGGTAAGGAAGCTGACTACCGGGCCCTGGTGTCAAGAAGCCCCAGAATGCAGTACAGCAGGCAGGGTGGAGAGATCACTAGGTTCAGGTGTCTCCTCATCTGGCCTTCTCCCCACCCCTCCCTCCTGCCCTCCCACCTTCCAGGGGCACACGTGCAGAGAGGTGAGGTGGGCACTTACGCTCATTCTGAATGCTTGCTGTTAGTTCCGATGGGTTAGCATTAGAGGAGACAAGAAGAACATGGGTTATTGAACACAGAATCACCCAAGTGACCCGCAGGCCCCAGCACACAGGAGACGGGGATGTGGGTTTGGGGAGGGCACAGTCTGTGAACTTTCTCATCCCCGATGATGGAGGGCTCAGTGGAAGAGCAGAGGAGGGTTGGGAGATGAAAGAGACCCAGCGAGGACTTCATAGAAAAGGTGATACCTCCCCTCAGGAGACTGAAATCATGCAGTCACCAAATGAAGATTTCACCAGAAGTCCAATTGTCAAATCCTACTTCAGAGGGCTGGGCTCTGAAGATGCTGCCTGTGTTCTATTTTGAGGAAAGTGGGCTCCCTGGCCTGTAGTAGGAGCTTGAGGTTGACGGTAGGACTGAGGTGCTGGGTGGGAACCGTGGTCTGAACCATGCTACCCAGCAAAGCTCCAATGTTTTAGAAGTCCCAAGGGCCCAGCAAGGTCTAAAGGCCTTGGTTCTCTCCCATTAAACCTTTTTCACCCAGGAAAATGTTTCTCCACTGTCTCCTCCTTTCCCATCCCTTGGAGAATTCCAGGGACAGATACATTTTGTTGCTCTGCTCATCACACTATAGAAATCCCACTCCTGAACAAGACTCTAGAGGTGAAGCAGAGCCAATGGCTCCTTTCTGTGCTTACTACAAAGGGGCTAAAGAAGCACGTGACACAAATACTCCCTAGTCCTGAGCAGGTGTGTGAATGGTTTAGGTCAACCCCAAACCCATTACCACTGAGTCAATTCTGACTCATAGTGACCCTGTATCAGGTTTCCAAGGTTGCAAATCTTTATGGAAGCAAACTGTCTCATCTTTCTTCTGCAGGGCAGCTGGTGGTTTTGAACTTTTGACCTTGCTACTAACAGTCCAGTGCTTACCCTATAGTGCCACCAGAGGTCCTTATAGATTAGGCCAGTGCCTCTTAAAACTTCAACACACATTGAATTACCTTCTGATACAGTAGGTCTGGGGGTGGGGTTTGAGATCTGCATTTCTGACAAGCAACCAGGGGGTGTTGATGCTGGTGGCCTTTGGCCTACCCTTTCAACTCCTGTTGTTAAGTGCTGTCAAATCAGTTCTGACCCATAGTGACCTTGCCTAGGGTTTCCTAGGAGCGACTGGTGAGCTTGAACCACCATCCTGCGGTTCAGACTGACTTTGCAGTTCAGCACATTAACCCACAGTACCACACCAGGATTCCACCCTTTGACTAGTAAGGTACTAATGGTCCTAGTGTGGAGCAGTGGGTTAAAGTGCTGGACTGCAAAGACTTTTTGAACCACAAGGTCGGTGGTTCAAGCTCTTCTCAGAAGCACTATACAGGGTCACTATGAGTTAGAAGCAACTCAATGGCACTTAACAACAACAACAACGATATGTTGGAATCTTGGTGTGGCGCTGTAGGATAAGCACTAGACTGCTAGCCACAAAGTCAGAAGTTCAAACCCACCAGCTGCTCCTCAGAAACCCTATTCAGGGTCAGAACTGATTCGACCGCACTTAACAACAATGATAAATGTTGGGAGCGCTGTGGCGCTTTAGGATCAGCACTGGACTACGAACCACAAGGTTGTGGTTACAGACCACCAGCTATTCTGTGGGAGAAAGATGTGGCTTTTTGCTAATGTAAAGATTTATAGCCTCGGAAACTCTACACAGATTATTGTAAGTCAGAACCGACTTGATGTCACTAAACAACAACAATGGTATGTTAAGGGTCCTGGTGCAGCGCTATAGGATAAACACTATACTGCTAACCACAAGATCAGCAATTCAAACCCACCAGCTGCTCCTTGGGTCAGAACCAACTCAATGTTCCCTATCAACACAATAGGTTAAGCAGCCCTGGTGGCATGTGTGCTTTAAGACCTGGGCTGCTAACCACAAGGCAAGTGCTCCACCCATAGCAGCCTTGGGAAACCTCTGAAGTACTCTTACTGTGCCCTACAAGGTCACTGTGAGATTGGCTTGGCAGCAGTGAGTTTGCTTTCATCGTACGTTGGAGTCCCTCAGTGATACAGTTAACACATCTGGCTGCTATGCTAACCAAAAGGTTGGAGGTTCAAGTTCACCCAGAAGTGTCTGGGAAGAAAGACACTTGCTGTCGTTTCCTTCTGATTATACTAGGAAGTAGCATGGTGCGTCAGCTGATGGGCTAGTGTCAGCGGGCTGACTTTTTCAGAGTGAGCTGTTTCTGGGGAGAGCGGGAAACTGCTGGCCTTAGGGTACATCTTGAAGCCTCCAGGACAGCTAGGTGAGCCAGAGTTAGGACAGAAACCGAGATGCAGGGAGAGCCACAGAAGACAGGCAAGAGGGACATCAGAGAAGGGAGGTGATGTGGGGTGGGGCATGAGTGTCCTGCCCGTCACAATGCCAGCAAATTACAGTCTTGGGAGGGAGATGAATGGAAAGGATTAAAATGCTGCTTTTAAGTGGGGCACTGAAGAGAAATGGTGTTTGCACTACCGTTTGTCTAAGGCTGTCTGGTATAGTTAACAATAAGAAAGGCAAAGCAAAAACTCTTAACTTTTGAACACATGCTCTGTGGGGGTCCCCACTATAGCATCTTCATCGGTCTACAACTGTCCTGCCCAAAAAGGGTAATACTGGGAAGACGGAAAGCCAGTCTGGGGATGGGCATAGGAGGTGGGGCGGGGAAGAAGGGCCATTCTCAGGAGAAGCATGGCTGATGCCTAAACCCACCCCTTTTGATCACTAGCCCAGGCCCCTAGTGTCTTCATTTCAAGCAACAGTTGGAATCTCTTGGGTCCTCATAAACAGTTGAGGGCTTTGGCCTCATCTGACTGGGAAGGATTAACTTGGCGCACATAGTCTTCAAGCTGGTTTCCACTGAAAGTCTCTGAAGACATTGTTCCAGGGGCACTGAAGTCCAGGGGACGAAGTTAAGACCCCATAGGAAAATTTCTGCAGAACTGGAGTGAAAATGAGCTCTCTCAATTCCTGGTCCACAGTTCTTTCTATAAACCTATCCTTGGCCAGAGAGGCATGTTAGTCAAGTGGTACCTCAACACAGTTTTCTCCTTGACATTCTGGACAATGGTGAGTAGGAGGGGAGGCTCTGGGGGAGTGAAGATTCTCAGGGCAGCTAGAGCTGGCTGCTGGTGCTGACCACAACCCCACACTGAACGGGTGCCCGGGGACCTTTTGAGAACCTACTTGTCTCAGGGGGTAATGGTATCTGCAGGTACTACAGTGTTACCAAATGATTTATTACAAGGACAGAACCAGCCCAGAAGACAGTGGGAACAGCCTATGTAGGAACAAGGAGGGAGAAGCTCCCATCCAGTCCCATGAACTCCATGTCACACCACGTGCCCTTCTCTCCATCAATGGAACTGGCTTTATGACAATGTCAAGTAAAGAATGAATGTGTTCTGGCCACTTCCAGGTGGGAAGGTCAGCTGCTGCCCAGTCTGCAGGGTCGATTTACTCATGCACCTCCTTTCTTCCCTGTCTCTGATCATGATATCCTCTGGTACCCATCCCTTGGAAAATGGATTTGAGGGACTGTGTGTGTGTGTGTGTGTGCTGTCTCTTGAGGATGAAGGTGGAGAAACTGTGTTGCTCCCACTCCAGTGTCCTTCTCTGTGGGCTCCTAGGATAAAAATGCTGAGTCCTCTTGATTTGGGGAGCAAATTCCCTTTTTGGCAAACTCCCTCTGGTTGATGAGGCGACCTTGTGCTTTTTTCAAAGGTCATGCTATTCTCCTTGGCATTGGAGAGGAAGGGAAGTGGGGTGCGTGTGACTCCATTGGCAAAGAGGTGAAAGCTGGAGACAGGGAGCTCAATGAGGGATTGTGCAGCAGCCCAGGGCTCTGTTCCAGGGCCCCCAAAGAGCCCAAACTCTCCAGTCATGACTGAACCAGAGATGAAGCCATGTCTTTGCCCTCCAGGCACATGAATGCTCCCCAAAGGGATAAATCAAACAAGTAGAGGCCACACTTGGCAGGACGGCCTCTGGCCTGGGGCTGCCTGAACACATTCCAACAAACAGACCAGGAGAGCTCAGAATACCACATGTGTGTCCCCAACACACTCCACTGAGCTTCAGCCCAGGGTGAAATTGAGGATGGAGGGGATCTTTTGTGCTGGGCCCATTAAAAGGGAGACACCTGGGGCCACTCTGAAGGGCCTGCCTTCCTGTAATTGTGTGTTCACCTTCTGTAGATGCGTTTTGGAGACGCCATGATGGGCACTGGGCCTGCACCAACCAGAGAGGTGCAATATGGATGGGACATTTCCTGCCTTGACACTGCCTGGGTTACCTAGCCAGCAGCTGGAATGGTGATGCTGACAGACTCACCTCTTCACTTCATTCAGAGAGGTGCTGTGGTCATATCCTGGCTCTGCCACTTACCAGCTGGTGAGCTGGAGAAGTTGGCTTTACTTCCTGGCACCTCAGTTGTCTAACCTGTAGGCTAAGGATAAGATCTACTTTGTGGACTGGCTGTGAGAAGCATATGGGATATCTCTGTAAAGTACTTAGCTCTCTGTCAGGCAACTGGGAGTGGCTACGATGATTACTGTTATTATTCCAGTGAATTCCAAGAAGAACAAGGACTAAGAGGAGGCAAAGATGTCAGAGATCAGGGTGGGGCATATCAAGTGTCAGAGGCATATCAAGTGGTCCAGAGACTCTGAGTAAGCAATGGTTCTGAGTTTCCACAAGCACAACATGGGAATTGGGACTTTCCCAGACCCTCTTCTGGGGCACTGAGATGGACGAAGTTGTGGTAGGGAGGGCACCCTCAGCTCTCTGCCCAAAGCTGGTACTTTGGAGAGACAGATGGCTTGGATTGCCTGCTTTAGAAATCTAGATTCTTAACACAGATGCCAAAGCCATCTATTTATAGGTTTCCTTAGCTGGAACCCCTGGCCCCAGGGATCAAAGTGGCAGGTGAGTGAACAGAATCTGCCGCAGAGAAATGAGCCTTCACCACTTTCTTGATAACCCAATTTCCTCTGCACCCCCTCTCCTCTTCAGGGACGTGGCCTTATCAGGCTCCTTATTAGATTGTCTGCCTGGGACTGTTAATGATAAAGTCTCCTTGAGCCAGTAGTGCAGTGGTCTCCATGGGAACAGAACAGTTCCTTTCACACACACCCCTCTTCATGTCTATGTATGTGCACATGCACAAATACACATACTTGGGGACATCACAAGGACAGCAGGGAATTTTCCCATCTAGTTTCTGGGTTACTAGTTAGTTACTATTGGCCTTTTCTCATCTGGAAGTGCCAATTCCTCAGGGGTAGCTGGTGTTGGTAAAGTGGGGTGGGAGAAGGGCTAAGATGCCTGGCAACTCTTCTCAAAAACCATGGTAACTCCAGGACCAAAGACTCAGTTTTAGAGCGCTGAGAGGACTCTTCTTGAAGGCTTTATCATTCTTCCATCTTTTCCCCAGACATTAGCTGGAGAGAGTCCAGTCACACAGAGGATTCCTTCTGTTCCTTGAGGCAGGGAGCAAGGTCAGCGATAGTGTGCTACATCTAAGCCCACATCACAGCACTGGAATGCTAAGACATCCTGGCAGAAGTGTCAAAACTGTGGGCAAGGAGGCCTCACCTGAAGGCAGAGCCAAGGAGCATGGCTGTCAATCAATGGGCCATTCAGGAATGGAGCGAGAGTTACAGTTAGTGGAAATGTGACAGCTAGCTCAACATCTGAAGTCCCTACCTTTTGATTGGAGAGTATTGTGGCTTTGTAGGATAAGCACTGAACTGTAAGCCACCAGGTCAGCAGTTTCAGCCCTCTAGTTGCTCCTCAGGAGAAAGATGAGGCCTTTGAAACCCTATACAGGGTCACTGTGAGTTAGAACCAACTTAACAACCGACTTAACAACCACCAGCACCTTTTGATTGGTATGGTCAAATAATGTCCCCAATATGGGAAAAAAAGTGACATGGATTCTACTTTTTAACTTTGCCATGGGAAAGTGGCTGGTGGGTTTGAATCGCTGACCTTCTGGTTAGCAGCCCAATACTTATCCCACATTGTCACCAGGGCTCCTTAGTGGCATTACAATGAAGCTCTGTTTCAATGTCCTCACTTGGACAGCCTTTTGTAAAGGTAATTCCCTTCCCAGGCCATCCATCTCCTAATTATCCCAGCCAAGAAGATCAGAAGTGTCAAGTTCTGGATCTGCCAGATATTAGATAAGAACCCCAGAAAGGCTGCACTTATGGGACAGTCAAGGAAACAGAGGGCTGTGGGAAGTGAGGGGCACTTGGAACTCCAGCCTCTGCCATCCCTGGTCCTGTTCAGATGCCCATGACTCAACTCCACCTGAGAGAGCGCCCTGTGACATACAGCCTTAGACTTCCACACATGAGCTCTGAACCACAGAGTCGATTGCAGCCTTTTTCAAATGGTCCTGTCTCCTGACCACCCCTACTCTCCAGCTTCTCTGTCCAAAAACTGGTAAATATTAAAAAGGAGAAAAGAAGGCATAGCAGGACTCACGATCCATAGGAATCTCGATGGCCCCACCAAGGCTGAGGAGCCAGAGGAGGAAGGCTGCATGGACCCAGGGTGGCAGCCGCTGCCTGGCCATTCTCAGGGCTGGACCCGGCTCCCTATTCTCCAGCCCTTGGGGTCTTGCCGCCTCCAGCTGTTCTAACTGGGCCTCCTGGACAGAGCTCAGCTGTGAAGAGAAAGACAAGAAGTCAATTTTTCTTGAACTTGTGTTTTGCTCTAGCAATCTTATAGGGTCTGGGAAGACTCAAGGATCCTCTTGGCTGATGGCCTTAACAGGGTTTTTCCATGATATTTGGGACTGACAATTCTTTATTATGGGGGTGGAGTGGGCTCTCCTGGGCACTGTAGGATGTTTGGCAGCATGCCTGCCTTCTACTCACTAAATGCCAGTAGAGCCACCCCTCCCTTAGTTGTGACAATAAAAAATGTCTCCAGACATTGCCAATTGTACTCTTCTTCACGGCCTTTTGTCCCCTGCAGGGAAAAACCACTCTCAAATGAGAACTACTGCTTTAGAAGAACAATTATCATTATGGATTGAAGTATGTGTTGGAATCTTAACTCCCATACTTGTGGATATAACATAATGTAATTACAATCACTTTCCAAAATGCAATCTAATGTTATGTGAATGAGACTAATCAGTGTCAGGTGTGTCCTAAATCCCACCTCATCAGAGTCATTAAAAAGGCAGATTAAACACAGAGACAAGTACATGCTGGTCACAACAGATGTCACGTGACAACAGCCAAGAACCAAGGGTGACCTGAGGCTGCCTTTAAGAAGCGACTGACACAGCCAATACCCTGATAAGGACTGTGAGAAAACAGACTTCTGTTTTTTGTTTTAAAGCACCCACTGTGGTATTGTGTTACAGCAGCACTAGCAATATAAGACAGCCACCAAAAACTAACACTGGCACAGCATCTAGATACCATGTACCGAGCAAGGAAGAAACGCATCAGAGTTAGGGCATAGAGACAAGATCTTGCTGATGTCCTCAGATACCAGGGGAGGGGGAACAGGATAAAGTTGGCAGCTCTGGGAATCATGGGTTATATTATTGACTGCATGTGGTCATGTGTCATTCTCATCCCCAGGGGAGGAAAATCACTTAGTTAAGACCCCATAGGATATTTTCTGCAGGACTGGAGTGAAAATGGGCTCTTTCAATTCCTGGTGCAAAGTTGTTTATATAAGCGTATTGTTGTTGTTGTTGTCAGGTGCCATCGAGTCAGAACTGACTCATAGCGACTCCATGCACAGCAGAACGAAACAATGTCCGATCCTGGGCCAACCTCACTAC